ATAATAAAAAAGCTGCGCAATTGACGTTATGAATTTATGACGAATACATAACAAGTTAGAGTGCAGAATTCCACTGCAGTAAGCTTACTCTGTGTTAATACCTTTTATTATATATGACTGCTAAACGACCGTCACGTTGTCAGTTGTGGGTAAGTATCTATAAGAACGAAGTTGTTTAGCTAGACTTCTTTCAACAAGTAGTATTTCAGTAGAGGAAATTGATTGGAGCATCATGTTGTGTAGAACGCAAAGGATGACCATTTTTGGCTAAGCGAACCTACTGTTCTTTGACCTATAATCCAGACAAGTATTTGCTTTATTATGATCCCGTTCATTATTAGAGCTCGTTTTATACGACTTACGATTTGCATGAAACAAGAGAATAAGTACATTAAACTTTAGCTGCATATACTTTTCAATATATTAAAATCGTAACTGCACTTTTGGATGCATTAAAACATTTATTGCATGTAATTATTGGATAATTGCATGATAATCCATTTTTCACAAATAATTTTTGAAAAGATTTTTGTAGGCTTTTCAAAGTCTTTTTCGTAATGATATACTTCGCCAATTGTATTGATTTCATACTTGTTTTAGATTTAAGTAGGATAGCTAAACGGGTTCTAATCCACTATGTATTAGTGCGTATACGTATGTGTGTGAGAGGGGGTTAGGGAGGGGGAAGTGCACTCAGACGCTGGGTCCGAGGAAGGAGAAGCGCGTCACCGGAGTCCGTGTTAAAGAGAAGAGGATGATTGTTCTTTCTCTCTCTCACTAGTTGCGTTCTCTGTTGGCCTCTCTTTCACATCCTTTGTCCTCTCTTTCACTTATTGCAATCCTATATACATACTTATTATTTGCGCTCTTTTTTTCTCCCATTATGCTCTCTCCCATGTTGTCTTTCTTCTTGCACGTGATTTAATTAAATAGATATGGTACTTACGATTTTTAATGATTTAGAAATAAATTATGATAATATTTTAATAATGTAATCTAAAGTAACACTAATCATAATAATTTTTAGTAATGTACAAAAAAATAATCAAGCATTCTTTCTTATCGATTAATTCAATACTTATTGAATGGTACTACTGAACAGCTATTTTATTAACTAATTCTTAACTACAGAAAAAGGGGGAAAGAAATCAAAATATATTTAAAAAATTTCACGTTTTAAATTTGATACATTTCTTTTGGCATTGCGACCACCAGTTGTATATTTTAAATACATTTTGTAACACATAATTCTTAACATTCACAATATGTTTTACATATCGCACAGTATTAGTAACAACTAGATTATGTAAAGAATCTATATCTTCGTAATCAGCATCCAAGATTTCAATGATTAAGTTGTCGCATCGAGTATGTCAGCCAGCCATCCATTCGCATTTTTCAACGTCCTTTAACGTAAACGAGAGCCTTATTGTCGTCACTCACTTCCACCAATTACAGTCATTGTAATCAGACGGTTCGCCATGCTGTACGAGATCATTCCATCTTCCCATTGCAATCTATAGCGATAAGCACTCAGCCAGGAAGCGCATACTTTTTTGACTTTGTCAAGAAATTCCATGGCATGGGACACATAAAAATGTAAGATGAGAGAGACTAGCTCCTTTTCTCAACACCGCTACTTTCTTCATGACAAATTTTTTTTCAACGATCAATCCTTGCAGATCCACAAACGTTCGTATAGTCATGGTGAATGACTTTTCGAAACTGTGCTCGATCGCAAAGAATCTTTTTATTTCTTGTATTGAAAAGAGAGGGAGGGTATTTTTTCTTTCAATAATGATAATTTATATAATTTTGCGTACTGCGTTAGACATTGGACTATATTCGATCACGTGGTCATGTATGATGAGACAATAGGCTACAGTATTCGTCGTTCGGGTACATTCTACTTGAATTCAAATTCTAATCACACATCCACGGTACCGCTCTTGATGAATTCGTTTTGTCGCGAGTAGTCAATGATAACGTGAGTATAATCGTGAAGAAAGTTTTTTATGTTTAGTGAAAAATGTTTTCATGTTCAATAATGTTTCACGATTTTCCCAGGGAATTTGGTAATAAGACATACGGAAACGTACATATCATATAAAATAATACATATCATATAAAACAGCGGTTTAGTATTTGTCCAAATCTAAATTCAGATTATTATACGGATAAAATTCAGAGTTTAGATAAAGTTTTACGTTGGTTAATTTACAATGATCGAAGTAAGTTTTAGTTGCTTTCTTTTAGCAATTTGTAGAGAAAAGAGAATATATCTAGGTTTTTTCAACTAAGTCGCAGTCTTGATAGCTCACGAATGCTTTGTCGTGTTTTGCAATAAGGAATACTTATACAAATCCCATGAACGGAAACTCATATTTAGATATCGTCCTCTTTCCAAGGTACGCAGCATAGATAGTTTATTGACTTCGTTCAATGTGAGACATTCATCATTGTATTTTGAATAATTCAAACGTCGGTTCAATCGCTGGATCTCCCACAATGCAATTGTTGTCGATGCGCGCTTGTATCAAAATTAATTCGTGACGAGCGTTAATTATCACACGTTTGTAATCTTCATAAAAGCCCAACATGCTGAGCGGCACGCAAAAGTTAAAATATCCGACAGGTATCATTAACTTTTTTGCATTATACTCAGATGGAATAAATCCAGCATTATGTATTGTATTGTCACTTGAAAACGATGCATAGCTCTTTAGAATACTGATTATTCCAACATTTCTATTATGATCAATCTGCATCATTGAGTTCACATCGAATTTCGTCAAACATGAACGCCACGCACTTATTTCCGGTTAACTGTTTTTGTTGATCTTTTTCCTTTGACGTCAATCTACCTTCGACATAGAGAACACTTTCACACGGCAGCATGTATAAATCCTGCTGTTTATGGGTATCCTTATCTCGTCGCTATGTCCAAACGTGGTGTATGTTGACGTACGGATTATAAAACTCGAACTTGATGATACGATCGTTAAAGATCGGCTCACTTCCAATATTCAAGATATCAACCATCTCAGATATTTTATACAATAAAGTCTAATAATTGTAAAAATTTAACGTTCGACGAAATTCCTTCTACTGAACGATCGAATTTTGTCCCTCTAGCAAAAATTATGTCTCTAATCTGTTTCATCTGCTTGTTCAGAACAAGTATCTCACGTTATTGTTGTCGTATCACTTTATCGTTGTCGTATCACTTTATCGATGTTGCTTCCGTACATGCAATCTAACGGTGATTTCTTCTCTACGAAAATCGAGTAATAGTCCATCTTGATACACAACTCTAACTGTTAGATCTGTAACATTCCATACGATGATCGAAAGGTAAATGATGATCTGTGTCGATCTTTCCGATATCTTATATTCTGGTGACACGCTCGGTGAAAATTCATGCATCGTGTGTACGGACTTATCATTGCCATATGCGCCCGTGGTCATATTGCATTCAATACGATATTTATGTTGATGATATTTATCGATAAGTCCGATTCATGCCATTGTCGTGATTCCAACACGCGATGAAAATCCCAACAGCGATCCAATATTATAAGGTTTGGTGAAATTTACTCAATAAGCGCATTTGATCTTACTCATCATTGTATTGTTATTAGCATGAATAGTCAATGGGTATTGTTCATTCTCTTTTTCTCTCTTGCAATATTATTAGAATGAAATTAGAATTGCACGTCTTAGATACTTGTTTATGTCATGTATTTCATACGATCCTTCGGGAATGATAATTTTTTTATCATCTTCGTCAAAGTAAAACTTATTATTCGATGAATTTTTTTACTATTCATATTCACTCTCCATTTTTATGAATATTTTTAAGAATTTTGGGTACATTCGGTAATCAGTACTACGCTGACTAAGCGTTCAGTGAGCTCTTGCATCTGTTTAGTTGGTCTATACTTTTGGATTCAACGGAATGTGCCAATTGAATGCAAGCGTTCAGTGAGCAGTGTCAAGTGTAAGTGTAATGTAATTAGTAATACTGAACACACCCATTATATTTCAGTCATTACATTTAGTTAGTAACACTGTTTGTAATAGATGCGCGCTAAAATATTTGTTTTAAACGTGTTTTGCTGTGTGAAGAGTATATAATTCTGAATTCTTGCTTGTGTTCATAACTTCACAATGAGCCTTGCGTGGAAGTATTTTACAAAATTAAAAAAAAAAATTTTGCAAAATGTAAACTATATTCCAAAGATATAAAAAGTTCTGAGACGATTTCTAACTCTTCGCACATTTAAAGACTAAACATTTATTTGCGTATAATAATTATGTAAAAAAGAAAAAATCAGAGGTAAGTTATACTGCTTTTTAAAATTATAATAAATGTCCTAATATTTATTATAGGCTAATTTGTATTCTCTAAGACACAAATGTCTATCGTGCTTAGGTTATAATGATGAAGAAGATGGTTATAGGCTATACTTGCATTCCGTTCACTTTGAGTACTGAAAATCTATATTTTACAGTATACGTAACATAAACTATAGAGTTTTAGTACCAATAATAAATAATGGAATACAGCCTAAGCATGATAGTATGATACACATTTGTCTTAGAATACAAATGTTTTAAAATTAATTATAGAGAGAACAAGACGTAAATAGAGATCCTCAATCAGAGTCTTGCCATAAGGCGAATGAGCAAAAAGCTCATTTTTCTACGAAAAAAAAGGATATAGATCAGACTTCTTTCTTCTTCAAATAGGTTTAAAGAAGAAAGAAGACGGATGTACATCTTTTTCTCATAGGATTTTGTCCGCTCGCCTTATGGCAAGACTCTGATTGAGGATCTCTGGACGTAAGCAATTACATTTTGTCTTATGTTGTTTTGATTTTGAGTATTATATTATTTAAAAAGTGTATGCGAGAAATATTTGAGGTTCGAGAATGATTCAAATAGATATCAAACTATAAAATTTCTGAATAAAAAAATTTTTTACAGAAACAAAAAGACGTTCATGAAAAACATAATACAGTTATTTCAATGGATGTAGATACAGATGATCCAGTTAATCAAGAGCAAGTCAGCATTGTCAGCAATAGGTGAATATTTATATCTCTACTTATATAATTTATTAACTCTCAAAAGTATAATATGTTACCATCTTAAGCTTCTACTTGCTTACATTTTTTTTATTTAATTAAGTAAATTATTGAAATCAGATCACATTTTTACATTTTTTATTTCATACGTTTATCTTTATAAAAAAATAAATTGTTTAAATATACAAATTTATATTTTTTCAAAGATTTGAATTGTATATATGCATATGCATACATATATATAAATATATTTTTGTTTCACAGATCAAAAAGCTCTTCTATTTCTGAAATTTCCGTACCTAATTCTTTCCAATCTTCCCAGTTCACATTATCGGAAATACTGAATAAGAGAGCAAGTTTTGATAGTGGAGGCTCAAGGAATATAGCAATTACAAACGCACAAATTTATATGATCTGCAGAGACAATATACCAACTAGAAGTGTAGAAAAAGAAGATTTTTCTTATTTTGTCAAGATATTGTATCCAATGTATAAAATATCTTCAAGATTCACTGTAACAACTCTTATCGAACAAAAATATAATGAATGCAAATTTTATCTTAAAAGATTGTTAAATAAAGTGCATTATATATCCTTGACATCAGATGATTGCACAATCACGAATTCAACTAGAAATTTTCTTGTTATAACTAGTCATTTTATTAATTCAGAAACTTTTTGTTTTGAAAGCAACACAGTTGACAAAAAGACATACAGGAGAAAGCATTGCTAAAGAGTTTCATAATGTTTGTGACGAATTTTCTAAAATTTCCTGTATTAAAATAGATGGAGCTTCTAATATGCAGAAAGCAGTAAGAAGTATTCTTGTATGACTCAAACTCACCAAAATGGATTAAGTATTTTGAGCATATAACCAATTTAATTATACAAAAATCTTTAAAAAAACGACTGAACTCGAAAAAATAATAGATATTAAACGTGTAACATATTTTAAGCACAGTATAATTGTATCGGATGCGCTCAGTGCAGAACAACTAAAACTTGGAAAATATTTCTACTCGGTGGAATTCCACTCTTGAAATGATACAAAGATTTGAAAAACTAGCACCTATTTTAGGAACAATTTTAGCTAGTAAAGAACACAAAGATGATTTCCAAATGTTGTCAGAATCACACCTTGGAGTAGTATCTAAGATTATTTGTCTTCTGGAACCTTTTAAAGAAGCAACTGTTCAAATATAAACCGATAGCAATATTTCTGTCAGTACCATTGCGTGCGTGCGTGCTTGCGTTCGTGTTATAATGTACGTGATACGCTGAATAAATTCGAGCCCGTTTCTTATCCTGGAATAGAATTAAAACAAAATCTGTTAACCGAAATTAAGGAGAGATATGTCTCTTGAAGAAAATCAGCTCCTTATTATTGCAACTCTGCTTGATCCCAGGTTTAAGAAAATATATTAATAATCTCTCTAGTTTTTCTCAGAAACTATATTACAAGTGCAACAGGGAATGAAAAGTAAAATAAAATAAGACTCTTTGCCATTAGTAGAAGAAAGTCCATCTAGGTCAAATCAAGAGATTTTAAACAATTCCAATTCCATATGGACAAAACATATACAAAAATTCAAATGCAGATGAATTATCTAGTAATCAAATTCTGTCTGAATTAAATTTATATTTTAAATCTACAACAATTCCATTGTCGGAAGATTCTAATATTGGCATGGATCCTAAGAGTTGCAAAACATTTTCTCCTGCATTGATGAAAGTTGCTTTAAAATATTGTACAATGATGGATTCTTCTGTAGCGTCTGAGAGAGTTGTTTCAGCCATCAACAATGTAGTTACGACATGAGAAGTAGATTAACAAGTCGTCATATCGATGAACTTGTTTTCCTTACATATTTTACAAAAAAATATGTTTAAATAACATCACCAAGTGAGATACAAAGATTTATTACAGTTTATATGTTCATACATATACAGTATATATAATATAATTAGTTTCAATGTTTCAAAGATTCAAAGTTTATGTTTACTTAAAAGATTCAAAGTTTATGTTACTTAAAAGATGTGTAATTTATGAAAAAATTGAATATATGATTTATAAAAGTATGTTTTTATGATTTATAAAACTATGTTTAAAAACATCTTTTTATTATTAAAAAAAATTATTAAATACATTTTCCACCAATTACATTTCTTAACTTTTGTTTTTATTTTAGATTTTTGAATCAATATTTGAGGCTAGTGATTAGTTTAATTAGTTATTGTGACATAAAGGAAGGAGTTTCATTTATTGTTTGTAATTTGTAATAGGGAATAGAGATTGAGACTATAAATAAATAGAATCTTTTCTAGTTTTTTACATCAAACGATCAAATATCAAATATTACATATCTTCGTTCGTAAGCTCTAAAAAAAGTGGCGTTTTTTTGAAATCTATTCATTGTGCGATATATTCGATATAATCTATTCATTCAGAATGAATATAAATAGTTTTAAAATATCTGAATATATTCATAGCCGATTTTTATTTGATATTGACATGTCTACTGGAAAGTAGTAGGCCGCGAGGACGCTACTCTTACCGATGAGCGTAAAGTGACATATTTGAATGAATACTGAAGTTGAAAGAGTGCAATGTCAATTCTTAAATTGATCATCAACCGTCTGTAAGAACTATAGACACAGTTGTCTACAGTTACTTTGATCGTAACGTTGGTAAAACGTGCGATTATACTCCATTTGCGTTACGTCCAAATATTGCACTAATTCCTTCGATGATCGAAGATTACTGAAACTATCAAATTAAACAGCACGATCTCCCCGCTTCATGTACGCAACCTAATGAGTACTGGCCTATCAGCATTATCTAAATTTACGATATCGCTCGTTTCAATACACTTTCCCTGTTACCTGTTGGTAAGGTAATACGCATAAAAATACCTATAAAATATGGAATACGCATATGTTTTGCCAGTTGTTGCAGTTGTACGTTGATAGTTACATATTTTGGCATTTTTAGTAACTGTTTAACTGTTTTTTTTTAATCTTTTTTATTGTATTTTTCTATTGTGACTCCTCGTCCACGCTTGTACGAAACGAGGTAAATTCCATGACCTTCCATAATGCGGTTATGACGTTTCAGTTCTCCCAATTGATGTTGCACGCTTTATTATCGCTTTATTATCGCTTTATTATCGCTTTATTATCGCTTTATTATCATTTATAGCTATTGCGACTCCTGCCACACCGCTGACCAATGAGCCAAAGACTCCCAACAGCGGTAGAATAGATAAGATACCACCGCGTTTTGCCACTGAGTATTTGTTTTTTCATCAGTTTTTTCTTCTTCATTTTCAAGCCCATACTAATTTTCATTTTGACTTTCACAGCCGCTCAAACAGCTGTGACAGCGGCTCTCTCTCCAAGAATCATTCAGTTTCCGCTCCTCCTCAGCGAGTATTTTAGTCAGTTACGTGTCATTTTGTGAGATCTTTGCTCCGCGAATAAGCTATGTTGTGTTCGCGACTCGCCGCGTCCAACAGATTAATGCCTTGAGCGCCTCTAACCAATCGCTTTTCTAAATGGGTATCTGGATCACAAAATTGATATCTGGGGATATGCAACTCGATCGGAAGTGCGTTTATCACATGATTTAAAAAACCGTAGCATTTTGTTGCTGTTGACATTTGCAATTTCTTATAAATGACATTTGCTGCAATTTCTTATAAATGTTGGACCATCAATATGCGATTGATGACAGAGCAAATTATAATGTTTCAAGCACCGACGATATTGCTGAACCTCTGAATAAGCTCAGCCACGTTACTATAAATACATTCGCTCTCGATGTCGTTTTTCAATATTATCACTATCGTGAAGGGAAAAGATATAAAGTTTGTGCGACAATAGCAGATGATTAAAGTGATTAATGTCAATAAAGTACAGAATGAAAAAGAAATACACAAGCATGGAAACATGCTGCCGATTTCTATACATGGAATCATCTGCGGTTCATCGAATTGCAATAAAACAAACGTGTTGACAAGTTTGTTGAAAAATCCAACATGGCATACGTTTCGAGAACGCGTACGTGTACTCGAAGTCATTGCAACAGCCAAAATACCGATGCTTGGAGAATTTATTTGCACCGATTGAAGAAATTGATTATATTATATTCTTTAATAATAACGATGTAGTACCACCAGACGAGACGCTTCCAAATTCCATTTTTATCTTCGGTGACGTTGCATGCGATAAGCAAAATGCGATCAAAGAGTTGCGATGAGTCGACACGCGGACGTCGATTGCTTCTATCTGTCAGACGTACGCAAAGATATCGAAGTATCTTATACGCGATAATGCAAATCTGTTGATCCTGTTCAAACAGAACGGCAACAATCTGAAACATGTATACAATGATCATGTAAACACCGACATCACGAGAATTTCTGCGAACTGTACGTTTCTGTTGGCAACTAAAGTATGGATTAGTAGTGATAGACAAAGACAATGCGCTTACGAATGGACGATACAGAAAAGGATTTAATGAGTACGCGATACTTTAATGTGGTTAGTAACCAATACCTCAACTGCACAATATTTCCTTTAGAGTGCAACATGGATAACAGCAAAGAACTCAAGGATCGCGAGAGGATAGCGAAACAAATTGCGAAAACGAGTGACTTGATTCGTAAAAGTACCGCGTTTAAAACCGGCAAAATAGAAGAAGATATAGCATTGGAGAAACACTTTAAACCTATCGTCGAACTTCTAAAATGGGTTATTGAGAACACCGCTAATAATGAATCTCAACCAATTAAGAAAGAAGTCAATGTTGTAAAGGATAAAAATATTAAGAAAAAAAAACCTGAAGATAATGAAGATGATAATGATAATGAAGATGATAATGATGGTGATGGCTTCTGAATTATTCATGGCTTCAATTAACACCATCGTCTAAAAAGCAACGTACAATAGAATTGAACGTCATATTGAATTCCAATCATATTAATATTATAATTCGCCTGAATCACGCGAATTGTCAAACGTTTGTACAAACGTTCGCACCTTCCCTCAATTGAAAACGTTTATAAGACGTCCAATGAATCACTTGATACTTTAGTTAAATAATCTTGGCAAACGCAGCAAGTTCGTGAGGAGTTGCAATTGGAGACATTTGGATAAAAATACGTAAGCATGCTCCTCATGGTGGTGTCAGAGAAAAGGCGATCGATCACATTTATGGCGTACATCTCAACGAGAACGACACGATGCTCGGTAACAAATATTTCGATGTAGACACGAATGACTTTGATCATAGAGAAAGCTTCAAAGATACACCTGGTTTGTACGAATTAATTTTCAAGGAATCCCCAATGACACTATTTACATAGGAATGATAAACTATCGTATAAAATTATACTGTTGACAACAAATGTTCATAGCGGCCATATGCGGATAGTATTGGGTAACAAAGGATACAAATGTAAGAATATAATATTACCCTTAGTATCAGGTAAGATACAAGTTGGGTTACCACGCGCCAGAAATCTAAACAACAAGTCAGGTAAAAGAGATGGAAAAGGTGTAATACCACGCACCATGACCCTAAATGACAATAAAATCGATTATGTTCATTGGGATGATCTTAATGAGCTAGTGGATCGTCTCCGTTTGCTTGAAGCTTCGCGTCAGACAGGTCACAACGCTCACGATAACGAAATATTGCTTATTATCGAGGAGCTTCGTGAAGCTGACTTTATTATAAATTGAAACGAGATACATTTTAGTTGACAAATGCCGATGAACAATGTTTTCGTAAAAACTGTGTGATATTTTACGCATTATACAGTAATAATCATAATATAACGTAACATGTCTGAGAAGAAAAATCTTGAAAAGTGGCGACTGGTGAAAGAACCTGGTGCATGCTCCAGCGAGAAAAAAATTTTCTACGCAGATGTATCACAGTTTACGGATACAATGACCTGTGGCAGGCTGCGTTTGAGATACGCCCTTACACACGATTCAACAAAAGTTACTACATTCTCACCTTTGAGTAAGCACGCATGGATCGTACCACTCAAAACCAAGAGCGGAAATGAGATGGCTACAGCGATAGCAAAGATAATTTGAGATGATGGAAGATGTCCGAAAAATTTGCAAATCGATACAGGAAAAGAATTTTACAACGCAAATGTACAAATACTCTTGAAAAAATACAATATAAATCATTATTCAACGTATTCCATAATGAAAGCAAACATAAATTCTTAAACACGGTGTACAGTAACGTAAAGGCCATCGCACTCTCGTGATTCAAAGTAGATAACTCGGTACGTGTGAGCAAATTTAAGACAATCTTTGAGAAAGGTTACATGCCAAAATGGATTACGGAGGTGTTTAGAATCAAAAGTACAGAAAACTAATCTTGTGATGTATCTTCTGGAAGATTATTGCGGAAAACTGATCGCTAGAGGATTCTATGAGTATGAGCTACATCGCTAATCCCAACGTACGTCTAGTTGAAAAGATGTTGCGTAAAAAAAAACACAAAGTTTACGTGAAATGACTTGTTTTAATAATTCACACAATTCTTGGATACACAAGAATAATGTGTGTTATAAAAAATATAATTTATTACAAAATTTGTTACAAATTGTATAATTCTTTTTCCCATGTAAATATATTGAATGTAAATATATTATACACATTACACATATTATACATACATACGTACATACACTTACATATATGCACATACGTACGTATACACATACGTACGTACAAAAAAATGAATTTATAATAATATTTTATAATATCCTTATGGCAACGTATCAGTGGTACAATACAGTCTGGTACAATATAGCACTTATCATCATAAGCGATGATAAGATTTAGAGCGATTTTTGTTTCGGATACTGTATACACGTCATGCAATTTAGATCATATGCAAGATTGCCGTCGCTTCATTTCGATTTCGTTATTTAGGCGTTGCGTGTAATCATTGAACATTATTGATCTCGCTATTACATTTGACGCCTTTTGCCTTCTTCGTATCCTTCTTCCCGTAAACGTGCAAGGCGTACATTTTCACTCTAAGCCCGATGAATTCAGTCATGATCGCACTATTGTTTTCGTTTTTCAAGCCCGAAATTTTTTTATTTATTAGCGGAATGTCATAAGCATTGTCGATAATCGCTCGTATCGAATCTATTGATATCGCGTTTCATAATATCGTATATGTCGTTGCATTTGATGTGATAAATTAGATTGTCCGTGTCAGTGTACATAACTTCACAATTTTCGCGAAACAGCGGTGTCATATACTCGTGGTGAAATTCATACAAACACGTTTTAGATATATCGAGGATGCACATACCTACGTATATCAATTTGTCGAACTCAGTTTCCGCATTCATCTCGAGTTTCCGCATTTCTATCACGAGGTTCTTAGAAAAAACGCTTCTACTCTGAAAGTATGACTTCGCGATCATTGTCTCTACACTGTGTCTCCCATCTCAACGCGTTACGAATCGCACATCAACATGGTTACGCACATTCTCCATGGTTTTGTCAAAAACCGCGTTATTCATTATTTTAAGTTTTTCTCGAACTCATTTTTTGCTATAGTTCTAAAATTTGTATTGAGTTGGACTCGCGAAACTGCGGAGATTATGCGAATTGTAATATGTGATAGATCTTTGTAATGTGGAGACCATGATGAGTATATTGCTGCAGATTGTGATAATGTATGACATAACACTTTTTATTGTACAATGTCGCGAGGAGCTTCTCCTCTTGCTTGTTGGGTGATTTCTCGCGCGTTGGACAAAACGATAGATCAGAATGCGCATCATGAAGATGTTGCGGTTACTCTAAGTTTATCTCGAGAATGTAACTCGCCGGTGAATCTGTGGCGATGGTCGTAATGTCAAAATTGTCTATGTCATCAACCCAGAAAATCAGCATATGGCAGTGGTTAACACATTATCCAATCGTACAGGTTAACATCAAAATACATCAAGTACTTTGACGATTTCGATGGATTATACGACTGCACGTATTTGTTGTTGGCCTGCGCACTGTTTGAACATTGACTCAGACTACGTATACTACGATCGATGAATAAAACCATGTCAACGTCGATAAGAAGTTCGAAATTGACGCGAGTATGTTTCAACATCGTGTCCCACGTAAAACCCGGTAGTGTATAATAATACACAAAATATCAAGTCCATAATTGGTGATGCAAATATCCCGAAAATTTTCAAATATATCCAACAACAATACATCTGTTTTTAAATATAGATTACTGTATTCACCGAGTATTTGGATGGAGAACCGCTGTCATACGTTCACGGCGTGCGCGTAATCGCTCTCGGATATCTACGGTATCATCTATCAACGAGTTATAAAATAATTCGCAAAAAATGATTGTAACTCGGTTTCCTTCAACTTTTCGATGCAGTCAATGTACTCATATGTATGGAAATATATCTTTAATTTTTCTGGTACTGAGAAATTTAAATGAACCTATAAAACGTATTTTTACACAAATTTTCTTTTGATCATTTTTGATGCTATCGCTATTTCGTAAATGAAATGTATTTTTTTTTAGGGAAGTAATTTATGGGAAGTAATTCTGTACGTCCTTCATATAATACGCGGTAGCTATATCCTTGATAATAAAATGAGCATCGTATCCCGATAAATATCAAAAACTATGGGAATGCAGTATGAATCTTTGTAATTCAAGTTACAATTTGAATGCACGGAGTCTCTGTATCGCCCGATCAAATGACAATGATCGCGTATCCGATCATTTGGCCCGAATGATTTTTCGCACACATGGCAGTAGTACTGTTAAATTTTTGCTAATCATCTCGCGTAAAATCTGCTATGGATACATTGGCGAAAGTATAGACTCTACATTATGCGCTAAATTTTTAAATTCCTCGGCGAACCATGCGATGCAATCGTTACCGCGACGAAACCAATACATACACAATGAGTTGTCATACGAGCAATGGACATAGTATGCTAAGCTAAATACTCGATATTGCTGATACGTATATTTGGATGTTTCCATGTCTATCTCCATCTTCTCTAGAGTACATTCCAAATCGGTATAGACCATAAACGCGCTCTTTCCTGCAGTGGTTGCTGAAGCTCAACTTTGTTGTCCTCATTGGACAGCCGGATCACGTAGTTGTTAAGTTTTCCACAGTCTACTTGCGTGGATCAGTTTTACACTTAAGCTAAAATAGCTTAAAGACTGCTCTCTTAATTTTAATTTTTTGCGGTAACTCGATAGGACATCCTGCGTATAATGGATTGTACATGTTTACATTCACGGCCAATTTCAGAATACGCTAGAGCGTCCACTTGCTATCGCGCTCCTGAAATTCCTCCAGCGATATCAGGATAGGCTTGATGACGCGCAACTCGTACCATTCTTCTAAATTAGACGAACGAAAGAGTTCATAGGTTTTCGTATTAACACTTTTATTCGCGCGTTTATCACCTGATACGAATTCGCCATTA